CCCCTCGGCTCCCCGGCCCTCTGCGAGCTCCGCTGCCATGTTTAGCTGGGCTGGGGGATAAGCCTGCGCTGTAACGTGTCCGGGTGGCTTTCCATTTTCTTTGAGGGCTGTGCGGCGTGCTTGTGGTGGTGGGAAGATAGAGGAGGAGGCTGCTTTATCTTAGCCTCGTTACTACTGCTCTTTATCTGCAAGCAAAGAAACCTGGTGGAGGGTTAAGATTTCTCTTTGTAGCTTCAGGGTTTGGATCTTGAATCTTGCTTTGAAATGACTGATAAGCTTTCCAGTAGCTGTCCTGACCATGCAGGTTTTTTTCTTATTGTTTCAGCCCCAAGATGAAATAGAAGTTGAGGACGGGTTTAAACAGTATGATGGTAAGGCTTTGCTACAGCATTATCAAATTCAAAGAGTTTGAGTGTTTTGATAGTTTGTGTACTATTTTTGTGCACTGTTTTTGTGTTCTGTTATTACTAGATGACATCAATTACTGCTTAATGATAGTTGTCTGTTTTCACTTAGTGATAAGTGCGTTAGACATGGAAGCTATGATGAGTACCATAAATGCTTGGATAAAAAACCCAGTCAAGTTTGAACGTTCTCATGGTATCAACAACACTTTGGATGCCCAGATCTTAGAAGATAAGGAGGGAGAAGATGAAACAATCCACATTCTTATTGTTGAAGGCTTCCTACTTTACACCTACAGGTAATCAAATGTGCCTTCATGTATTTTGCTTTTACATGATAGGCAAACCTCTAAGGGAATAAAAAGACCTGTTCTAAACCAAGAGTTAGCAGCCGGTATTGACTACTGCTGAGTGTGGGTGTCACAAGTCTGAAGGTAGCTCTAGGTGCAGGAAATGGATGTAGTTCTACTTTTCCATTTCTTGTTCCTAATGAAACAGCTTAGCTGTAACCAGACGTGTCTCTTTCAGGCCACTGATTGATGTGTTCCACCATCGGTACTTTCTTTCCATTCCATATGAAGAGTGTAAGAGGAGACGAAGGTGAGTTGTTCTTTCGTGATTCCCTTCCTAGCCCAGTAGCATTTTACTCTGTTCGAGACTGTTTGTTTCTCTGAAGTTTTTAGATAAGCAAGGATAAACATTAAATGTAGCTGCTGTATTAGACTGTAGCTTCCTTCCCCAAACAACCCAAAAGCTTCCTACCGAGCTGTTGTGTACATCTCAAACTATCCTGGGGTTCTATATTTGGCTTTATCTTTGTGCTTGTGGCTTATGCTAAATACTGACTTTGATAAGCTTAGAAGCTACATGGGAGGCAATAGGCTCAGGCTAGTGTGTAGAGAGACTGAATGAACTATCTGTCATCTCCCTGAACTGCAATTACTACTCTCGAGTAACAAGGTCTTAATTTACAGTTCAAGGAATTACACTGTACCAGATCCACCTGGATTGTTTGATGGCCACGTTTGGCCTATGTATGTAAAGCACAGGAAGATAATGGAAGATCTTGGAGTTGATGTGGGTAAGTCTTTAATGACAAAAGCACTTTGGAAAGATTGCTCTAGGAGAGTGCTTTTCAAACTGGGATGTATGTGCTGATGAGATGCATGAGAAGAGTTGAAGCAGGTGGATGGAGGACATTTCTCTGATACCAATCAAATATGTGTTCTTCAGGAGCTGCTGGGCTTACACAAACTTTCAATTATAAATCTCTTGTTTTTATAATTTTTCAATTATAAATTTTTCAATTATAAATATTTATAATTTTTCAGTTATAAATCTCTTCAATTTCAATTTCTTGTTTTACTTTTTTACTTTAAGTGCACTTGAATGGAACAAAATCCAAGGAGGAGCTGTTTAACGATGTGTATGGACAGATCCAGAATAAGATTGAAGAATTACTTAACATGCAGGTACATGTTTATGCTTGTAATTACAACTCAAAGGCAATCCTTTTAAAGGCTGTATCAAAAAAAGCATAAAGCTGTAACCTGAAATATGTTCATGTGTATCTTTGTTTAGAAATAAGCTGCTTCTGATTCTTGTGGGTGAAGATGACTCCTGTTTACTCCACGCTGCCTACCTGCCTGCCACTAAAGTTCCAGCTTCTGTGAAGACTCCCGACTCTTAAATTCGACTTTGTTCAATCTTCCCTTGAAACCGAGTTATACATGGTCATAATTAAAAAGCACTTCCCCCTTTGTCTCTCATCTTAATTTGTGCTTCAGTCTCATATGGGGCCTCAGATGAACTCCATCTTTTCCCAGTCATGTTATTAGCCTGTGAGAGTAAACCCTCATATTGTGTAGGTATATATATACCCACATACACTTACTTGAGTTCTTCCCTTCTATTAACCTTCATTAATTTCTATTATCCATCTAATTAGGGATCATCTTGATGATGAAACTGGGGTTGATCTTGCTTTTCAAAAAGGAGACCACAATAGGAGGTTTTCGGGCCATTTTACTAGTATTAAATTGTGTTAAATTCAGTGTACACACTGATCTTGGCTACAGACAATACAATTACAGTTGGAAAAGATTTTACGTATACAACAGCTTTAAAATTACTGATGTCTCTAGACAATTTCAACAGTGTTCTGTAGCTTAAGGCAAGTTCACACTCCTGTGTACATACAGAAGTAGTTTAAGGCCTTGATTTATATAGAAGAGCAATGAAAAAATATGAAGCTTAATCCCTGGTAGGGGAAAAAGTGTATTTTAGGATAAAAGCTTAAGAAAAAAAGTGGTACTGGGTGGCCCAACAGGGAAGCTGTGTATTGGTCCACTATGAGAACAGTCCTTCAGAAACGTTTGACCAGGCGGCAGTTACTTCAAGCCCAGATGCATGAGCTTCCTGATAGGAGCTGGTCCTCCCCAGTATCCCCTAGAAACAGAGAAAGTTCCTTCATCAAGTTTATGTACACATTGCCAAAGTAGGGCGTGGGGGGAGTGGTTCTGGTTTACTCCCTTAAGATCCCAGACTTGCTAAGAGAGAAATGCTGGAAGTTTGTTTTGGAGAATCTCGTTTCAGCGAGGTTTTCATGTGGCAAGGGCTGCCAGCCTCTGCACTGCAACCCTCTTCTGGTAATAAACCCCTGTTACTAGCAAAGTGCCCCAAATCCTCAGAAAGTTGAGGTCTTGGTCATGATTAAGGATGCGCTTATGTTCTAGCAAGGAGCTAAGCCAGAACAGCTATCTACCTGGCCTTTACCCGGATAATCACAGCAGCTCTACCTGCTCAGGATTCAAGTACTTACTTGAGTAGTACATTCCAATAGAGAAAAGGCATCATATCAGCTTTCATATGGTACATGGTTACTCTCTCCTTGCTCTGGTCAATGGGAAAAGTCTCCAATGGCTGAGCGTTGTAGTCAAATTCTGCTAGAATCACCTTGTTGTAGCCTGTTACTAGCGGGCAGGAAGTATATCCATCATACTGCAACGAAGAACACCCCTGTTCATTACTCTGAGCAAAGTCTAAATGCCAAAGTATTAAAATCCATATGGTTAACATTCATATTTCTAAGTAAGTTACTAGGCAGTATCTCTATTTGTAGCATTAATATCAGCGAGTCTGGGAGCCTGCTAAGCTAATTGTGCTTTAATAACCTTAATACTAAGTCATGTTATTTCAAATGGAGATTTAACATCGCTAAAATCAGAACTGACCTAGAATGACAGGGCTTTTTGTATTAATTGTTGGTTATTGCAACCAGCAGAACAGGGGAGCAGTAGATCAGGATGAGAGCTGGTGCTGATTTGAACAGGCAGTGTATAAACAGGGTCTTGAATCTAGCTACAAGAATTTCCAGAGGATGGCACGACTATGGATGATGATATTCAGGTTAGTACCCCAAGGAGTACTAATTCAGAAGCCATAGGTAAAATGAAGTCCAAGTCTCAAAGAGAAATTTGAACAGTTATAGGCTTAGCATCTTCTGTAGTACAAAAACTTCAGTTTAACGCCTTAAAAGATTCTATTCTGTGCAGGGGAGGCAAGTTTTAACGTTGTACAGATACAGCAGATCTGCAAGGGTCTTCCTGGAACAGTGGGTGTAGCAGTCAAGTTTTACTCTAAATAAGCCTGCACTGGTGAAGAACCCAGACTGATTAGCCTTTAAACTTCTTTCAACTGAGAAGCCAAAGAATTTAATACAGAGTATTTTTAATGGCAGTATCAGGAATATGAATTGTGCAAGTAAACTACCATTACAAAATACAGCATTTAGCACCCCCTCTTGCCCTTCCTGCCTTTTGGTTCACACCCTTAGCTCCTTGCAAGACTTCCTGTGCGAGAATGGAGAACACATTCAAGAAAACTTCCCTAACACAAGATCTGTAGGTACCTTCTGAGTTGGCAACTGGTTCTTCATTACCAGGGAAATAGTTCTGTCAAGCACTCCAGACTGGGCAGCTACACAAGAATGAGAAAGAGTATTTAGGCTTTGTTTCAGGCAGCAACGGTTGTCATTACTAGAGCAAACACCGTTAGCCAGGCATTTCGTTGGGCAGTTCAGCTGGAATTGAACGTGCATGTCAAATCAGTTTGGGAAGTTTACAGTCCCAGGTAAGAAGAAACAGAAAACTGGAATAATGCTTTAGCCTCATTGTTTCCAACATGCTAAAGCTTAGTGACACTTTAGCTGTGTGGTTTTAGTCTATGGCCATTCTCCTACATGAAATTCTAGTTGCTCAGTCTTCCCCAGCACCAAGATTCTGGCACACAGAGTTTTTTTTCATTTTGAGTGCTGGAAGGCAGGTACTCTGGACCCTTTTGCTGGAATAGTTGATGATACCATTTTCCAAGTTCCACCAGGAACATACTGATAACTTTCCTTTATTTTTTTTAGTTGTGAGACCATATGCCTAAAGTGGTTTTATATTGGACCCTGTGGCTACAAGTACAGAACATGTGATTCTTCAATAGCGACTTATCTTTCTGCTGACACATACGCATGAGCTGCTAAGATAGAGTGGAAAGTTTTGTTACCGAGTGGGGACAGAAGGCAAGAGCAGTGTGCTCATTTTATGCCACTCTATGGACACAGAAAACACAATTAGTTCATCTGTGAGGCATTTGGAACAAGAGAACTGTGAGTTAGTGGCATCAGCATGGTCAGTAGCCAGTTAGCCCAGGAGACATAAGTCTTTTTGAAAGCTGTCACTCCCACACTTCTCATTACACACACACACACACACACGTGCAACTTTACCTACGGCTGCAGCAGTTCTGGAAGTTGGAAGGTTGGTGCAGTCTCCAATGCCAAATACATTAGGGTACTTTTTATGTTGTAGAGTTTCCTTATCTACATCCACCCAGCCAACTTCATCCGAGACACGACTGTTGACGAGTACATCAGGTGGCCCCATGGGGGGCGTGACATGAAGCATTTCATACTAGAAAGAAAGAAAAGGCACTCAACAGCTAGTTTACCAGACCACATGGTACCTGTGTTGATATAAGGCAATAAACACAGTGTGGAGATGGTTTTTTGTTGGGGTTTTTGTTCGTTTGTTTGTTTTGTGGGTGTTTATTGGGGTTTTTTTTAGTACATAGAATGAAAATATGACTTTTCCTTCCTCCATATACATCTAAGACATTACCAAGTTATACTAACAAGGCGTACAGGACTCCAGCCATGGTTTATTAAGTATTTTTGCCTTCTCTCCACCTCAGTTTCCAACTTTTTAATCCTCCACTAAAGCCAGAGATGGTACTCTCAGGAGGGAATGGCAGTATACAAAAAAGCAGATAGTATGTGCGTATTGTGTGGCAGTTATGTTACAGTATACAATGAAAACAAACAGGACCAAACTAGAGATCTGCAAAGTCCTGACCTGATGAACTTCAGTCACTCCAGGCTTGTCCAAGTTTTCAAACACAGCTTCCTGCTTGTCTGCTCGAACTTCCACAAGGTTACGCTTATAGTTAACAGTGATATCCCTCTCCTTTATTATTTCAAGCAACGCATCAGCATACTTCTTAACACCAAAAATGACACCAAGTGAAGTGTTGAACATTATGTTTGCTTTGGACCGTTTTCCTGTCTGCACAGAGAGATCAAATTAGCCTTTTCTATAAAGAAACTGAGACAAGCTGGCAGAGACAATTGTGCTGCACTACTGAAGAGCTGATAGAACTATTAATACAGTTCGATTATTAATGAAGTATTAACATTAAAACTCTCAGATACAGCTGTTCCACACCATGTTAGAAGCTAGACAAGATAATCTTCGCCTTTTTTGAGTGAGGTACTGAAGACACCCTCCCCAAATTGCTAGTGAGAGGAGGTGGCTGCAATTCACTGAGGATGTGCTGTATTCAGGGTCAGCACTTGTAGCAGCTTAGCACTGTGCAGCTTTCTGAAACCTCCACTTCAATGCATTATTCAGGTGCTCTCCCAGTAGATAGCTCAGGAAACTTAAACACATCTGAAGCTTGACACTTCCACTTGAAGCTGTCTTCTATTTACACTAAGCTTGCTCTGACAGCATGGCTAAGACTCCTCATGATGCGGAGACAGCGCACCACAAGGAACAGGAATAGCCGTTTATCAGACTAGCAGAAAGACAAATGGCAACAGGTATTAAAGTACTAAGAATTACTTAATTCCAGACAGCTTCTAGTGCACCAACTGAAGTTATAAATGAGGCTGAGAACAGCTGTATCTGTAGCTCACCAGAAGCAGGGCAAACAGTTCTTTCCTTATGGATTCTGAATTCTAGAAGCTTCTCCAGTATTAAATATATGCTAAATATTTATGTATGATTCAGCTACTTGCATTTATTATAACTTAGAAATAGAAAAAGCAACTCAGTTACTTTAATAATTCTGTTTCACGTTCCTTGTGTGTTTTCTCTTTGTTTTAAAGACAATATGAACCCCTTCGAACAAGCCTTGATCCCAACCATGGGAACAAGCACTGGCAGAAAGAGTAAAATACTTACTTTCCTCCAGTAGGCCTCTGATAAATACATGATCTTCTGAGGAGCCCCTGCACACTTCACTGGAGTGTTTGGAAAAGTGAAGATAGCATTTCCCTCCTTGAAATCTTGTACAGCTTTCCATGTTTTCTCTACTGTATGCACTGAATAATTGGAACCTATTTTAGGGTGATGAAAACCTTCAGGCAAGCCTTTGATCTAAGAAAATGAAATTATGGATGGCAGAATTTTGTCATCATCATCAAGTATTAAATGCAGGCTT